AGCTACAGCTGTAGACGATTTAAAACTCAGTTCCTCAGCCATACATGCCCCATTTCAAAAGCTCAGGCCAGTCGGGCGCAGTGGCTTACGCCTGTAATCCCAGCACTTTGGGAGGCCAAGACAGGCAGATCACAAGGTCAAGAGTTCAAGACCAGCCTGGCTAACGTGGGAAAACCCCATCTCTACTAAAAATACAAAAAATTAGCCAGCCGTGCTGGCGGGCTCCTGTAGTCCCAGCTACTTGGAAGGCTGAGGCAGGAGGATCGCTTGAACCCAGGAGGAGGAGGTTGCAGTGAGCTGAGATCACACCACTGCATTCCAGCCTGGTGACAGAGCGAGACTCCATTTCAAAAAACAAAACAAAACAAAAAAACAAAAGCTCAGGCCATGTGCAGTGGCACACGCCTGTAATCCCAGCACTTTGGCAGGCTGAGGCAGGAGGAACACTTGTGCCTGGGAAGTCAAGACCAGCCTGGGCAACACAGCAAGACCCCATCTCAAAAAATAAAAAGCTGAGTTGCCACGTGGGGCCGGCAGCTGCGCATCTGGGTGTCCTTCGTCCCAGGAAGCTGCTTGTGTCCTGCCGCCTCCACCCCTCCCCACACAGCCGGCGCCTGCCTGGATCAACAGATCGCACGCAGCCCTGAAGCCCCTTCCACGGCCACTTTCAGGCTCCACCTTTCCCTGCACGCAAAGCGGAGTTCGCCTTCCTTGACACGAGTTCCCAGAACCCGGGGTCCCACCCATGGGGCCGGAGCGGCTCCTCCTCCCGCTGTGGCCTCAGCAGGGGCCTTCGCTACGGGTGGGGAGGGGACTGGGCAGCCGCACATTTCAGCAACTCAGGTCTGAGCTCCACAAATAGAGACCGGGGACTGCAGCCAGCTCCCGTGCGCGTCCGGCAGTACGCTGGGTGCGGGGCCAGGACTGCCGGGACACCCCAGCAGTCGCCCACATAGCTGTGCTACCTGGAGCTGGCAGTCTCCCTCTCACTGCCCTTTGGGAAGTTATTGAGTGGCTGTGTGGGGCAGGCAGAGGTGCTGGGCTGAGGATTCCCAGGGTGCCAGGTGTGGGGGAGCTGCCGCTCACGAGGGCGTCTGCCTTTCCCTGAGCCTGGGTGTCTGAGTGTTCTCTAGGGCCAGAGGCAGAGGGCCAGAGTCAGGCCGACCCTCGTCTCTGGTTTTGAGACGGGATATTGCCTGGTTGCTCAGGCTGGAGTGCAGTGCTACGATCACAGCTCACTGCAGCCTCAGCCCCCCAGGTTCAAGTGACCCTCCTGCCTCAGCCTTCCAAGTTGCTAGGACTGCGGGTGCATGCCACCATACCCAGTTAATTTTTTTTTTTTCTTTTGAGACGGAGTCTCGCTCTGTCGCCTAGGCTGGAGTGCAGTGGTGCGATCTCGGCTCACTGCAAGCTCCGCCTCCCAGGATCACGCCATTCTCCTGCCTCAGCCTCCCAAGTAGCTGGAACTACAGGTGCCTGACACCACACCTGGTTAATTTTTTGTATTTTTAGTAGAGACGGGTTTTCACCGTGTTAGCCAGGATGGTCTTGATCTCCTGACATCGTGATCTGCCCGCCTCGGCCTCCCAAAGTGCTGGGATTACAGGCGTGAACCATGGCGCCCGGCCTGCCTGGCTAATTTTTTGATGTTTCGTAGAGACGAGGTCTCACTGTGTTGCCCAGGATGGTCTCAAACTCCTAGTCTCAAGTGATCCTCCTGCCTCAGCCTCCCAAAAAGTTTTCTTTTCTTTTCTTTTTCTTTTTTGAGACGGAGTCTTGCTCTGCCGCCCAGGCTGGAGTGCAGTGGCGCTATCTCAGCTTACTGTAAGCTCCACCTCCTGGGTTCATGCCATTCTCCTGCCTCAGCCTCCCGAGTAGCTGGGACTACAGGTGCCCGCCACCATGCCCGGCTAATTTTTTTATATTTTTAGTAGAGACGGGGTTTCCCCATGTTAGCCAGGATGGTCTCGATCTCCTGACTTCATGATCTGCTTGCCTCGGCCTCCCAAAGTGTTGGGATTTCAGACGTGAGCCACCGCGCCTGGCCTTTTTTTTATTTTTTTCCCGGACAGTCTTGCTCTGTCGCCCAGGTTGGAGTACAGTGGCCTGATCTCAGCTCACTGCAACCTCCATCTCCCAGGTTCAAGTGATTCTCCTGCCTCAGCCTCCAGAGTAGCTGGGATTACAGACAGCTATCCATGTCTGGCTAATTTTTGTAGTTTTAGTAGATACAGGGTTTCACCATGTTGGCCAGGCTGGTCTTGAACTCCTGACCTCAGGTGATCCACCCTCCTCGGCCTCCCAAAGTGCTGGGATTACAGGTGTGAGTCATTGTGCCAGCCACTGCTTGTTTTTGTAAATAAAGTTTTATTGGCACACAGGAACATTTTTTACATGTTGTCATTGTCTCCTGTGGGGGCTGTAACCGCCGTGCTGAGAGGGTTACAACAGAGATCCCATGAGGGTGGAACTTGTACCATCTGGCTTTTTACAGAAAAATGTCTACTCTAAGGTGGCTTCCTGGGGGGCAGGAGGCCAGCAGGGGCTGGACCAGAGAGGAAGCTTCCCGGGAGGCGCCTCTCCGTGGCTGACGAAGGGCCTGTGCCGCCTGCCTGCCCTTTGGGTGTATGAGACGCAGGGACTGGGTCGGCTGCACCTCCCCTCTCCCCTCACCTTCAGACCCTCAGTGCAGCAGGAAAGCAGCTGTTGGGGTGGAGACAAGGCCCCGAGGCTCTGCCCAGCTTGCCTGGCTGGGGACACCCGTGTGACATCCCTGCTTCCCTGTCGGGGCCTGGTGGTGGCTGGGGGGCCTTCCCTGGGCGGCATCGGTGGTGGCTGCCAAGTGTGTCTGGTCCCCACGTGAGCGTGGCCTTCCAGTGCTTCACGAACCCAAGCCTGGTCGGTCGTCTGGGTACAGAGTGGTCCTGTCTGCCCTGGCTTTCTTCTGGCTGAGGGTGTGGCAGGCCTGGCTCTGCTGGGCTCGGGGACAGCAGGGGACCCCAACTCTGATGGAGACCACAGACAGGAGGGGGACGGGCTGCGTGTCCAGCAGAGGCTGCACACGGGACAATGTGCCTCCGCCCCAGGCCCAGGTGACCAAGCTCGGCGAAGAGGTGAGCCTGCGCTTCCTGAAGAGGGAGGCCAAGCTGTGCGGCTTCCTGCAGAAGAGCTTCCTGGCCCTGGAGAAGGTGGGAGCCTGCCCGCGGCCGGCCTGCCCCGCCCCACTTTCCAGACGCAGACCTGCGGCTGACCGTGGGGTCTCGCCACAGAGAATGAAGGCCTCGGAGAGCTCGCGGCTGAGGCTGGAGGGCAGCCTGCGGGGCGAGCTGGAGAGCCGGTGGGAGAAGCTTCGGGGGCTGATGGAGGAGCGCCTGCGGGCCCTGCAGGGGCAGCATGAGGTGGGGCCGGCCGGGCGGCGGACAGGTGGGGCCGGGGCCGGGGTGTGGGTCTCAGGGCGGCCTCCACCCCTTGGCAGGAGAGCCACCTCCTGGAGCAGTGCCAGGGCCTGGATGCCGCCGTGGCCCAGCTGACCAAGTTCGTGCAGCAGAACCAGGCATCGCTGAACCGCGTCCTACTGGCTGAGGCGAAGGCCTGGTGGGTGTCCTGGGGCCTCAGGTGCTGTCAGGTGGGGAGACCCCCAAGTCCCACTCAGGAGGGGGCCGCGGTGGCCGACTCAGCGGGGAATGACCTTGCCTCCCCCCAGCAGAGTGCTTGACCCCGAGGGCTGCAGTTGGACGGTGCGGCTCCTCCTCCCTCCCGTGCTCCCGTGGGGCCTCCCGTCCCTCACCTAGCCTGCTCTCCCTGGGGCACTCGGCTGTGGCCATGGGGAGTGAACCCCTGTCGTGGTGGCACTGGGACCGCACCCCATCTTCCGATCCCAGGGTCTCCTGGGAGGTTCCGGAGCCTGCAGCCAAGCTTCCCTCCCTAGTCCAGGGCTGAGGGGTGGGCAGGCTCTGCTGAGGGCATCTATGTGTCCCCCAACCCCTAGGGATGCCAAGGGGCGCCTGGAGGAGAGCCGGGCTGGGGAGCTGGCTGCCTATGTGCAGGAGAACCTGGAGGCCGCACAGCTGGCCCGCGAGCTGGCCCGGCAGGAGATGCATGGCGAGCTGGTGCTGGTGAGGGGGTAGCACAACATGTCCCCAACGGGGTCCCCCATGCACACAGGATGGGCGCTCACCCAGGCCTCCCCGCACCCACCTGTCCCCCTTCAGCTCCAAGAGAAAAACCGGGCTCTGGAGGCATCGGTGGCGCAGCTGGCCGGGCAGTTAAAGGAGCTGAGTGGCCGCCTCCCGGCTCTGAGCAGCCGGCTGGATCTGCAGGAGCAGATGCTGGGCCTCAGGCTGTCTGAGGTGCGCCAGGCAGCAGAGGGCAGGCAGGGCTATGGGGAGTCCCCACCCCGCCGGCTCTCAGCCCACCACTGTCCCCAGGGGAAAGGCTGGACAGGCCGGTCCCAAGCCTCCCATCACCCAGCGACTGTCCCTCGGGCCCGGGAGACCCCGAGTCCCAGAGATTCCCGTGTGGGGCGGGACGGCCACTGAGCAGCCTCGGCCCACGGCCCAGCCATGCGGGCAGCCACAGAGGGGCAGACAGGCGGCCTCCGCCCATCCTGCTCTTGTTCACTTTGTAACAGCTCTGTTGAAACGGACTCACTCCCCACACGGTTCACCCCCGAATGCGTACGGCTCCGTGAGTTCCGTGTGTCTATTCACAGTTTCAGAGCATTCCTCTGCCAGAAAGAACCCCAGCCCCGTCCGTCCGCCGTCATTCCCATCCCCACTTCCCCTGGCGACTGCCGGGTCCCTGCCTGTCTCGGGGGTGCCTGTTCTGGACATTTCCAGGAAATGGTGCCATGCACCGCGCGGCCGCTGCGGCGGTAACACCCGCGGGCATCCCGTTTCCCGCTCCTCGGGGCCTCGTGCACAGAGCTTCGCCCTCCCACCACGGCGTAATGTGCATCGTGTGGGCGCCACTCCCCGGTTCCAGCTCATCCCCTGACGCATGCGTGCTGCTGCGAGTGGGCGACACCCTGTGTCCTGGGGCTGGATCCCACTGGGGCCTGCCCTGCCTCCCTCGGGCACCTGTGTGGTCGGAACAGCCCCCACGGGCCCTCGGCTGCCCAGGCCCTGCCTGGCATGTGTGTCTCCAGAGCGTGCTTGGCCAGGCCATCCCAGCTGCCTGCAGGCCTGTGCACAAATGTCTCAGAGTCGGAAGTGGGGGTGAGGGCCGCCTGCCCCCAGAGCTCCCCATGTCTGTCCATCCATCCGTCTGTCCTCCCTCTCTGGGCTCTGTCCCTCACTGGGCATCTGTATCCCAGGCAAAGACCGAATGGGAAGGTGCAGAGAGGAAGTCTCTGGAGGACCTGGCCAGGTGGCAGAAGGAGGTCGCCGCGCACCTGCGGGGGGTGCGGGAGAAGGTGGATGGCCTCCCCCAGCAGGTGGGTGAAGGCACAGCCAGACTCGGGGTACTTTGGTGCGGGACCCTCCCCCACTGCGCCCGTCCTCTCGCCTCCTCCCTCTCGCTGTGTGGGCGCCCAGGCCAAGGCTGGTCCTAGACTGTGCCCGCTCCCGGCTCTGTGCTCAGATAGAGGGCGTCTCGGACAAGTGCCTGCTCCACAAGAGTGATTCGGACCTCAGGATTTCCGCCGAAGGCAAGGCCAGGTACAGCCTCTGGGGCCCTGGGAGAGGGGCAGGGGCTCTGCTGACCGTCACTGGGTGGGGTCAGTCCCCACGCTGCTCTCCACAAGCCCCCTGGTGTCATGACAGATCTGTTGTTCCCCCTGAGCCTGGGCCCGGCCCAGCACTGAGCTCACTCTGCCACCCTGGGGCAGCCTCTGAGAACTCTCCCTCTACCGCCTTCCCTCCTGGAGGGGTGACAGAGCTGAGCCCCCTCGAGCCTCCTTAACCCTGTGGTGGCTGTGGGAGTAGCCTGTGTCCCCGGTCCTGGCCCTATCCCCGAGCACACCCCACAGGCAGCCCCAGCCTCTGGTGCCCGCAGGGAGTTCGAGGTTGGGGCCCTGCGGCAGGAGCTGGCCACGCTGCTGTCGTCCGTGCAGCTGCTGAAAGAAGACAGCCCTGGGCGGAAGATCGCGGAGATGCAGGGCAAGCTGGCCACGGTAGTCCTGGGGCTGCCCGCACCCAGCTGGGAGAGGAGGGGAGCCACTGGGTTCAGACTGGGCAGCCGTGCAGAGAGGCAGGACCCCCGGCCTAGGGGGCGTTTTCCAGCCGGCAGGAGACACTCAGAAAACCACCTGTCGGAGGCCAGGCGCGGTGGCTTATACCCATAACCCCAGCGCTTCGGGAGGCTGAGGCGGGCAGATCACCTGAGGTCGGGAGTTTGAGACCAGCCTGACCAACACAGAGAAACCCCATCTCTACTAAAAATACAAAAATTAGCCAGGCGTGGTGGCGGGCGCCTGTAGTCCCAGCTACTTGGGAGACTGAGGCAGGAGAATCGCCCGAACCTGGAAGGTGGAGATTGCGGTGAGCCGAGATCACACCATTGCACTCCAGCCTGGGTGACAAGAGCGAAACACTGTCTCAAAAACAAAAAACAAACCCAGTTGCCCTGGGCCACCCCAGCTCGTCTCAGCCTCTGGAAGTTCTAAGCGGAGGCACTTTGCCTGGAGCCCCCACACTGGGGCATCCGTGTGCAGCCACGAGGGCTGACACAACCCCGAGCCCTGGCCAGGCCCCCGCAGGGCCACTCTCAGGCTGCCCCTTCCTCCGCGGAGCTTGTCCCAGGCCCTGCGGGGGTTGGGGGGAGGGCGAGGACCAGCGTCTCAGCGGGGGGCCCCTGCCCAAGCTGTAAGCGGATATGGGGGCGCCCGTGGGGACAGCAGGATGCCAGCAGACTGGCCCTGTCTGTGGCTTAACTGGGGCCGTGTTTAGTTTCAGAACCAAATAATGAAGCTGGAAAACTGCGTCCAGGCCAGCAAGACCATCCAGAACCTCAGGTTCAACACTGAGGCCCGGCTGGTGAGAAGAAGGCCCTGCCCGGCCGGCAGCGCCCAGCTCCCACCCACTCCCTCGGCCCTGCCACCTCCCCGCCTGCCCTGCTGCAGGCGCCAGTGTCCATCTGTCCAAGTGTCTGGCAATGGGCATGGTTTTCCTGAAGATAAATGACTTCCAGGCTCTCGGTGGGAGATAAACCCCGTTTGCCATCCCCTGCCCGGAGGTCTGGCTCCTGGGTGACACGGGCATCCCCGTCCCACAGCGCACACAGGAGATGGCCGCCCTGCGGGAGAGCGTGCTGCAGCTGCGCAGTGAGGAGGGCCCGCAGGCGCCGCTGGGCAGCCGGAAGCTGCTCCCATCCCTGGCAAGGCTGCGAGTCTTCATCAAGGACACGGCGCCAAACGAGGTGGTACCCGTGAACTGCTGGGGCGTGTACCAGGCGGTGAGGTGGGCAGCAGGGATCCCGGCGCGGCCTCCTGGGCCTTTGGGTCCAAAGGGTCGGGGTTTGGGGCTGGGGGCCTGCAGGCAGCAGGTGGGCTGTGGGGGGTGGGGCAGGGGTGCAGGGGCCACATGCCACATCTCCGGACAGGTGGCTGCAGTGGAAGGCGTCCCTCATAAAGCTCAGGGCCCCGCGGAGGCCAGGAGGGGTCCCAGAGAAGCCCCACAGCCAGGAGCAGGTGCAACAGCTCACACCGTCGCTCTTTATCCAGAAATAAACGAACCAGCCTTGTACTCATTAGAGCTGAGGTTCCCCGATGCATGCCAGTGAACAGCCTCCCCAGGGCCTGTGGGGTGAGAGGGGTGACGAGGCCCCGGGCAGCGGGGGTGTCCAAGGCTGGAGGGAGCCAGTCTCTTGAGCCCCACAACGCTCCCTGTCATGCCCAAGCCCAGCCTGGCTTCAGGCTGTTGCTTTTCCTAGCACTTCAGCAGCCCCTCGCCTTCCCTGCCAGGCCCCCTAGGGCTGCCAGAGCCCCCTAGGGTGGAAGGGGCTGGGCTGGGGCCTGCCCAGAAGCACCTAGGCCTGCCCCCGCCAGGACCCCCAGTGAGCCGCCCTGCCCGGGTTGTGAGGAGGACCCGGGGACGCTCCCTGGCCTGGGGCTCTCTGGCTCTGCCTCAGAGCCACTCCAGCCCAGCACCCTGCCGTGGAAGAACCTTCCAGCATCTCTGGAGGAGACAGCCCTTGTCTGCTGTCTCGGTCGGGCAGTGGGCCCCTCTTCCTGCCTCTCCAAGGAGGGATGGAGGAGGCTCTTCCCAGGAGGACGGGAGGAGAGTCCAGTGCCTCAGGGGCGGCCCCGCTGCCGCCAGCTGACTCCGACCCCAGTGCCTCGCTAGGCCTCGGCTGGCTGTGCCCCTTCCAGGGCTGGGGTTCCCCTGCCGGGCAGCTCAGGACAGGCCTCGGCCGACCAGCTGGCCAGCAGGTCGCTGAAGTCGGGCGTGCCAGGGTGCAGCAGGCCCAGGGGGCTAGGGGTCGGCTCCTTCCAGAAGGACGGGGGCAGCTTCCTCTGGGCCATGGGGGTGATGTGGCCGTACTTCCGCTCCAGCCTCAGGCTCCAGCTGGCCGCCGCCCTGGACCCCCAGTACTGCTGCAGCCCGTAGTCAAAGAGCTCGGCCAGGGGTCCCAGGGGCTGCGCCCTGTCCCCGCTGAGGCCCGGCCTGCGCACCTGCCCTTGGGAGACCCCG